ATCTACGTCAGTTGCAGCGCATTAAGAGATTCATTAAGAGAAAGCCCGCTTTGATGGCATTAGTTCATTCATTTGTCCACTCACGTTTGGACTATTGCAACAGCCTACTGTATGGTGTTTCAGCGAATGAAATTGCACTGTTGCAATCTGTACAGAATAGAGCAGCTAAAGTAGTAATGGGTGGACGAAAGTATGATCACGTGACTCCATTGATTAAGGATTTGCACTGGTTGGCAATTGAAAAGAGGATTGTTTTTAAAATTTGCTTATTAATGTTCAAGTGTTTAAATGGTTTGGCACCACGATATCTGACGGAGATGTTTACACTCAAAGATATGACTGCTCAGAATTTTGTCTTGAGATCAAACGATCAGAATTTACTTGACAGATCGGGTGTCAAAATTGAAGATTGGGTCTCGTAACTTTGCTGTATGTGGTACGAAAATATGGAACAGTCTTCCATGCGTCATTCGTCGACCAGGGATGTCACTGTTGCAGTTTAGGAGAGAATTGAAAACACACCTGTTTTGAAGATTAATTGAAGTTGTGAATAGTATGATGCATGTTGCTTTTGTTGTTTATGAATGTAGCTTATCGATAACGGAACATTCATTTGTTTTATGCTGTATTATTTACGTTTTAATAATATAATTGAGTTGTCGAGTACGTAATGTATGTGGGTGTTTTATGATGGGATGTGCTTACGTTGTATGTGTTTTGGATGTGATGAGATGTGTGTGTTTCGTGTGTTTCTAATAATTTGAATCGATTTATAATTATTGTGCTGGTGGCTGGGTATTTATCTGTTAGTTGTTCTGAATTATATGTTATCGTGCATCTTCTTAGCGTAATTGTGTGTGATTGGTGTGGATAAAGTGTGGATGAATGTATCTAAGATTTGGTTTAAAATGGTTGCTGTTTGGTTCTTATATGGTTGTTACATTACTTTTAGTGATTGGGTATGGTCGAGAGTATATGTGTGCATCTATATATAAATTTACAAATATTTATCTGTTTTGTTTTAGTTCTTTTCTTTTTACAATGTATACTTATGTTTATTTTCGAAATATTTATGCTTTTGTTTGATTACTTAAATGGACAAAAATTTTTTTTTTGGTTATGTTGGATAGCGACTTTGGGTAGTTCTATAAAAGTCGCTATACAAATTTTCTTATAATATATATATATATATATATATATATATATATATATATATATATATATGTATATATGTTGGTAATAGACCATAATTTTTGCAATATTCTATAAATTCTACCGAATGTTTGGCGTTAATATGTTTGTAGTTCGTTTTTTCGATTCGACAACGAATACAGGAATTTGTTTGAATGGACAAAGTGAATGCACTGAACAATTTAAAGACAGCACAATAAAATCATTTGTGAACTGGGCATTCACACACTCTTCCGATATTGAAAATTGCGACGCTGAATTAAAGAGTCACTAACCTGCTTGTAAACAATGGATATAAGAATTACTCTATTGAAAAGATTGTTAAAAACAAATTACTACACAGCAATAACCTTCCTAGTACCAAC